AATCCCAGCTCTGTCACCTACCAGCTGTGTGACTTTCAGCAAGTTACTTTGCCTCTCTGAGCCTGGCCCACACTGAGTGCTCATTATTAGTGCTTTTTATTGTCACTGGCTATTCGCACAGTATTTCAAAATATCAGTAGTGATGATGAAGCTCATGATTCTGATCTGAGACTTCAGAATCACTTCAAGTTAAAAACCTCTGAGGAAATTCTCATCTAGATTTTGGCCTTTGATCTCTCTTCAGTCTAACAGAAAGGTGGAGGATAAAACATCATCAAGTAGCATCATTTGCTGGCTACCTTTTCCAATTGAAAAGGTAATTAACAACCAGTTTATGAAAACATTCTACACTTTTCTTGATTATTAAATAATATAAAGTGCTTAGCAAAATGTAGAGCATACAATATGTGTTTAATACGTATCAGTCATTATTATTACTCTAATAATATTATTTCTTTCTTCTCGCCTACCTTGACATTTCCTGCACCTTCATATAATTAAACCCAAAACAAAGGAGCCTCCAGCATTAACAGGAAATCAGCAAAGATGTTGGTAACACGTGCAGGATAACACAGGAAACTGTTAATTACCTTGATGAGGGAAATCTGAAGGTTAATTGTCTTTCCATTCTTGAGAAGACTCTGCAATTTTCTGCTATGTAGAATGTTATCTATATAGAGCCAAAGCCTTTCAACAACATCTTCCTTCAGTTCAAGTTTTTTCTTATAAAACGCAACCAGTGACTGTCTGGCCCAATCAAGTAATACCTGAATTTGGAAGAAAGATACTTCAAAAATAAATGAACTTCTTTACCAAGAAAAAACGACACTGGACATTTATAGAGACATCCCGTGCGTAACCAAAGACACTTGCCAGGGGGAAAACTCTTCTTTAAAATTTACCTTGGGGAATATTATAATGCATAAATGTTTTGGTATCTTAAAATATTTATTAGTAAAGAATCAATTAAAAAAACTAATTTTGTCATCACCTGGAGGCAATAAGAAGTTTCCAGTGGGAGAGTTCCTTCTACTAGCTTCTCTGAAGTTACACTAAATTTTAAAAGTTAAAAGCACAACAGTAATTGCTCAGCACTGCTATGAAATGAATCACACACAAAGGCAAAAATGCAGAGTCAGAAGACCAGGGTTAGTGTCCTGGCTTCCCGTGTGACCTGCAGCTTCATCTGTAAGTCTATTAACCGCATTCAGAAGTCAGAGACAGACTTCGGTGAGATAACTCACAAGTGCTGTGTTAGAAGGAGGGCTGGCCATATATAGTTTCCATCACTGTGACATGTTTCCTTATTAGTAAACAGGAGGAAAGGAGGTGTGGCCTCAGCTCACAATACCAAAACTGTCGATAAGAGCATGAACAGTGACAAATGCTAAAAGGAAAACATTCTCCCGGGATAAGGATAGTACCTACCAGGACCACCAGGTGACTGTCAAGCGGCCAAAAGGAATCTCAGGTGCAGCCAGGTTTAGGAACTACTAGGTATGACGGTGCTCCACACGTGGTAGCTCCTCATGTTAACGACATAAGCCACCTTTGGCACGTTCTGTGCTGTCTTAATACCAGCATACGAGTGTATGTTAACCCAGTCTCGTGAGCTCATCATCCTGGTTGTCTCCATTGTATTTAACACTAATTTTTACTCAAATAAGCTTAAGAAATCTTAACAACAGCAATGCATTCCTTGGTTCCTAATCTGTTTCTAATCTGTTGGTTTCTAATCTATTTCCCCTCAGCCCACCACAAATGCTAAAGCTTCTCTACTTTCCAACCTTCAACTCTCCAAATTGCAAAGACGTGTAACAAAGCACCAACAAGCAATTGCCTACAGAGCGGCACTTTGCTCTGCAACCAATGAAGATACCAGCAGACTCAGAACCTAACTTCTGTAACCTAAGTCCTAATTTGTTCACTGATGCACAAACTTCAGTTGGAATATAAGAGATATTCCCAAACAAAAGAAATGCTAACTGAGGTTTGGTAACAGAAAAACTTCTTTAATGAAATACGGGCTTACTGACTTTTTCTCACTGACACTACTTTTAACTTTCCGATTATGTTTCTTTCCCCAACTTTTCCCCTAATCTTTTAAAGTTTAACTCAATGTCAATATGCAACTTACATACGTGATAATTAGTTAAGTTGTAAAAATGTAACTTGTACATTAAACTTACTTGTTCTTTATTTGGAAGAACACACTGGTGGGAAATCCAAGCAAAGTGAGCTAGTTTTAGTTTATCTTCCCAGGAAGTTGTCTTGCTTTTAAGCTTCAGGGAAATGCCAGAATAAACAGCAGCCATTGTTGCACTTTATCTACCATTTAAAGCAACGGAAAAAGTATTTATATTAAGGTCAAACTTAAGAGGCATCAGAAAATGAACATCATGTATCTTACTGCCTACATAACACATAGTTCTTTAAAAAAATTTTTTTAATGAATTAAAACACTGTTGGGCAAAGTCTATACATAAGATGCTCAAGTCCATGACTTTTCTGGGGGATACTCAGACAAAAGCAGGCAGAAGATGGATTACACACACACACACACACACACACACACACACGCACAAGTATTCCTGCTGTGATCAAACATCACATCCTCAGAGGTCAGTGCACAGGAATTTAATGGGACAAAACCCTAAGTGTTCAAATTACTTGTGAAAAGATTCATTTACACGTGGTTCTAGATGGAAAAAGGTAAGTTTTGGCACAACTGCTCTGAAATATATATACTATGTAGTGTGTATTAGCTCTATTAAATAGTTTAAAGAGATAAATAAGCAGTGTTTGGCAATACTAATACTCCTCCAAAGTACAAAAGAAATATTGTATAAACCCAGTCCCAATAAAAAACTGTTATTTCAGCTGCAACAGTAACTTCCCCACTACAGATTTATCCATTTATGGTATAAATTTACAAACACACACTGCTTCTAAAGACTCTGCAAAATACAGTTACACAATTAACACTAGAAAAAAAAACACAGTATCATAAAATCATGAATACAGAAGGAACACAAACACAGCAACCACCTATAATCCTATAAAACTGAAGATTATATGTAGCTTTACATAAAAAGCTTTATAGGTAACTAACTTAGGTAAAGGTAACTTCGAGTTTCCTAAAAGTCATAGCGAAAAGGGGAAATGTATTAAGTCATTTTCATTATATAAAAGTAAGTCAGTCAGTTCCTCAAAGGAGAAAGTTTGTCATGATACTTAATATTGAAATTATCATAAACAACAACAAAATAGGACCAAGGGAGGGGAGGGGAAGGGAGGGGAGGGAAGGGAAGGAAAGAATCTCAGTTCTATGATTCTAATTTAAATACTGGTAAACCAAAAGAATTTGCTATACTGAGAAGGATCACCGGATTTTTTAAATCTAAGGGGCCTGAAGTCCTACCTTCAGAACTAATTCCCAACAGGTATATATTTACAGGGAATGAGCGAACACCGTATGAGGACACTTACTCAGCACGGTATTCTTCACTCTACAGAGAACAGAACAGTGGCGTGCTGTCAGTCTTCCTATTTTGTCAAACGTCCAATATCCATTCAACAGCTACTTACTTAATGTCTAAGACAGCCATCGCGACAGCTACAAAGTACTTAAAAAATGTTTGCAGAACTGGCTACAAAGACGCCCGAGACACTCTCCGGGAGTCTACCCACCTTCCGCTCTCGGCGCCCCGCAGCGATCTTTGACAGGTGGTGTGAAAAGCTCGGTGTGGACAGCAAAGCCCGTCAGTACTCAGGCGAAGACCGCTTAGGCACAGCCCTGCGGAGCAGCAGGACACCGGGTAGCAAGAAACAGGAGCAGCCAGGAGCGATGCGAGAGACCACCTAAGGGGCGAACCCAGTGGGCTCTTGTCCAGCGCTTGCTGACCGGGGAAAGGCCAGGCCCGGGACGGAAAACCGTCCCCAGGTAAGGAGCTCACCTCGCGGGCGACTCTGGCTAGGGGTGGCGGGCGGGGAAGGAGGGCTGTCCCCAGGGAAGGAGGTAGGGACCGCGGGCAGGTGCGGAGGCCCGGCCCGGGAGGGCGCTCACCTCGGCGTCGGCCCCAGGTAAGGAGCTCACCTCTGGGTCTTCTTGGGTTGGGGCTCACCTGCAGTCCGTCCCCAGGTAAGACGCTCACGTCAGGCCCCGCCCGGTAGGGGCGGCGGGCGGGGACGGAGGGCAGTCCCCAGGTGAGGAGCTCTCCGGGAGGCCAGCCCCCGATGGGAACCACGCGGGGGTGGAAGGACGGCGGCGGCGGCGGCGGCGGCGGGACCGACTCGCGGGCGCCCACCACGTGGGGCCG